TAGGAGTTATAGTTTTATAGATAGCGCCCCCCCGCTCTCCCCCTCGCGCTTCCCCCCCCCCCCTCCCTTTCACCGCGAGCGTGGAAATGTTTTGGCGATAAAAATGCGCGGGATTGTTTTATGGCGGTGCGGCAACGTGTGTGTGTGTATGTGTGTATGTGCACGTTCACGCGCACGTGCGTTCGAACGGAATCGATGCATTATCCTTACGCGGCTGGTCAACGGCACCTCTGCGGAAATGAAAACGCCGAGTCACGTTGGCCGCGGCGATACTCGCGAAAAGCGTTTGGCGCAAATAATAAAAAGCCGCGTACCACTTTGCTCGGGATACAAAGGGGCGAGCGAGCGAGCGGGTGGGCGCGCGCGCGCGCTTTCGATAATCGATGCCGGCTACGGTCACCGCGGAATTAACGCTTTTTAGCGTAACCCGCTTTAGCACATGGCAGCCGCACACGGCGCGGCTATAACCGCGTGATTGGCTCTTTGCGCCACGCCGGTATCGCGATTCTCTCTCGTATAGCTAATAATAAGTTATTAATTTCCTTTGATAGGACGCGCGCCGGATCAAGTGGTGCCCGAATAGTTTTATCGTTATCCGCCTGACAGACGTAAGTGTACTTTCAAACGGTAACGACGCGAAGAGGGCTTACGTTACCGGCTGGAATGACGTTGCAGTTGACATCCTGCAGTTTATTTATATTTCAACTTGCTACATGAGTAATGGCGGATTTTATGTATAGCGAGCTAAGGGAGGAAGAGAGAAGAGGGAAGAGAATGCGTCAGATACTCTCAAGTGTTCCGGAATGATAAAGCGTCTTATTACAACTCGCAAGGTGTTACCGTGCTGTGTACTGCGCGATGAGGGCGCCAATTTCGCTAATTAGCAACAAACATATCACTTACGTTAGACGTCTATCGCACTGATTGTGCCCTCTTTCTTGACGCTATTGTCGTTTCGGCAACCGTTCTTTACGCGATAATCACATTTTCGGTGCTAGGTGTCGCGAAAACAAATTTAACAGTTTGGCGTGTGAAATCGATTTGATTCTTGTCAATATAACAATTTGGTTTGTCCAAATAAACAAGCAAGGTATAGGCAATATAAATAGTTAAAATATTTTGTAACTCGATATATCAGATATATATTATGACATATAATATATTATGATATATATTTATTGATAATATAAAAGCAACACGTATATTGCGATAAGATACAGAATAATCTGTAATTATATTAATAATGAAATAAGAATATTATATTCCCGAAAAGCAGTTAAAGGAAATGAACGCCATCAATTGAAGATTGCTCGTAATTATTTCGAATTTAATTATTCCTCGTTATTATGCCCTTAATATATTGGGTCAAGTGTGGTAATTGAGACCTTTAACCAAGTAAGACAATCCAATCGGAGTGAAATAAAATTAATAATTGTTGTTTCTGAACGATTTGTAACTATTAGAATTTTAGCGGAATTGTCGTGGAGATATGCGTACGTGTCGCATAGCTCTTGTTGTAATTAAGAAACTGCCGGAAACTTTTTGCCTGATATTCCGACGCTAATCATGCAGCCTGTCGGTGATCCATTATATTAAATTTAGCTGTGACTTACTATGCAAACTTACAACACGGCGCAAGTTGTCGAGTAACCCAATTTTTTTTTTAATTCACCGTTGAGTCAACGAGCAATACGAATTTGCACGAAGTGTTATTCATTGAAATGAAATTATTTCAAATATTTTTGGAATGGCACAATATATATATTTGTTACAATTTTTTTTCTAAATTTCCCCATTTAGCTATCGTATAACCTTTGATGTGATATTTTATCGGGAAGTTTCGCTGCGTGTATAAGCGCAAATGTTGGAAATAGTGCTATAAACAAAAGCTCATTGTAAATTTATGATCACCATTTTGACAATCCAATTAGAGAACGAGTCTTGCGCAACGAAATCGATTATACGTGTATACCTGTAATGTTCTACAAAGAAACAGTTATAATTTTATGATCCGTTAAAAAAAAAAATTTTCGTAAATTATACTATTTTGCAGATTTAAATATTGGGATCCTTGCCTGTGGTAAAGTTGATGCGCTGAATTCGCGAATCTATTTATTGCTATTACGTAAGGCATTTTAGTAAAATCGCAATAACCATATTGTACTATTATATGTAGAATAAAAAAAATCGGTAGGGATTTTCTAACCTCGATTTTGGATTTAGCATGATATAAATATCCCCAAAACATGAAAACGTCAACGCAATTTATCACCGACTAATGTTATTAGGGATAGGAGGATAAACTCAATTATTTCGTGAGAAGTAATTCAAGTATGTTCTCCTCATCAAATTTCTGCCTAATTCTTCCAGCAGAGTAAGGTTTATTCTACGTGCTCGTAGCTATAATATTTTCATTGCCACGGTGCCTTTTATGAAGTGCGGAAATAAGCCGAGTACTTCAGGAATAAAACGATTTATGTATTATCTCCACTCCGCAGCAAATTTTAAAATTTCATTAAAGAGCCGAAATTGCTTCCTGCGGAAGTGGGAATGGTAAGGAAAGGAAAGGAAAGGAGCCACCCTAGCGTCACTGCCGCCAAGTATTTTTACGGTCCTAAACCTAATTGAAGCCGGGTCCTCGAAACTTGTCGAGTTTCGTGGGGATTAGCGCTCGGAGAATTTTTCCCCGTTTAAATAGTCATGAGTCCCGATATTTTGTCGGCGGGTATCTTTTACCTCTGTTCACAGTTTCGCGAACGTGCGCTATCGTGTGTAACATATTATATAATATGTTTGTGCAATATATTATGCATAGAAAATGTAGAATGCTAATGGAATATTCGCGAACTGAAAACTATTTGCTTGTTTCTGTCCGAAGCGAACTTCCAATGTTTATTGATTTTTCTACTGTAATTCTTTCGACTCTAACATTTTCTCTTCGTAACAATGTTAAAACTATGATTAAAAGTTTCCTTGTGTTACCTACTGTCCGACAAGTAAGCCCATTTGGGAATGCAAATCAGCGAATTTATTATCCGCGATCACAAGTATGTTGTAAATGTATGTTACATCGTGAACTTGGATTGTTTCCTACTCGCTGCGGTTGACACGTATTCCCTGCGACCGCCCATAATTGCCTGATTTCATAACTTTTACCAAGCTCCGTGCTTTGGAGGAACGTCCATATATTGTATTGTGTATGTATGCGTGTGTGTGTTTGCAACTGCCCCATCAGATTACGAGTTTGATCTCGCAAGAGCCAACCGAGGCTGCCAAATGGTTATACAGCGTCATGTGCCATCTATTGCTGCGCTGCGAGCGAAACGTAATCTCATTTCCCAGACCAAACTTTATTTCCATCGAAATGGAGTGTCAAAAATAAGCAGAATTCGTCATTCACTGCGGGTCTTTTTTTCATCGGCGCGGACCGATGTTGTCAAAGCGCGCCTGTCAAAGCCGCATTGTACACATTTATCAATTTATAATAATAAAAATATGCGCGGTTAAACTCACATGACGCGACCGAAAGACCCGCGAGTTGCACGTTGCAGAAATGCAACGGAAAAAAGAGCGCAACCGAGTTTCTTCGTGACTTTAACGAATTTCAAGATCTCCACCGCGAAATACGATCGAAGGTCTCCCGAGATCTCGTAATGATCGGAAAGAACCAAAAAGAAAAAAGGAAACCTCGATGTCTCATTACAGAGTGCAATTATCGCTGTAATGAGACGTCAAACTTGGCGTGACCTTACACGGACTGTTTCGTATCGAGCGATGCAACGCTCACGACTAATATTCCCCGACGGGAGCAAACTCTCGAAATCATTACGGCCTGTTGCAAACGTATTGTTACTTCCCCGGCGGTAGCATTCGGCAAATTGCGCATCCATGAGAGGCACGGTAGCGCGGAATATTCCCCAATCC